CTCGACTTCGGACGGCATTGCCTTTGTCTCTCAGGTTATATACCCACCGCCATGGACACCGAACAAGAGGCGGGCGACAGGCGCCCGACTGGGTCGTGGTGTGGAGCTGTTACGTCTGTTCCGGTCAACAACGCGGATGGATCGATGTTGTGTTTTGGGGGGGAGGGCTTTCGTTATGTCGACGATCAAACAATGCGAGCCCGACGCCTTCCATTCCTGGGATGACAGGCGGAGGCGAATATCCACCAACAACGTGGGCTAAATGATACCCTCATTCGACAAGATTGGCCAGAGATTGCGCGAATGAAGATTGAACTTTGTCCAGAAGGAGGGAGGCAGACTGCCGCTTTCTCCGGTGTCTCGTCAATCTGCTTGTTTGTCGATCTACCTACGAAGCAGGACCATATCGTTGCGGCGATCTGACGGTTGACAGTTGGCAGTCGACAGGCGGGGGACGGCACGATTGCTGGCTGACCTTGTCTTGGTGGTCCGCCAACATGCATGGACATGGACGGATGGGGGAGACAAGACTCACTGGTCTGGATTGGTGTACATGGTATGTTGCGTTCATGCCTGAGGTCGATGTTGATGATCCTTGTCACCTCCTTTTCGGGTGCAGACGCACGAACACGCAAAAATCCGATCAGAATTCACGGTGATCGTCTGACAATATCTTCTTCACCCAGTCGTGCGAACAAAGAATGGCATGTGTGTGCCGGATGAGGAGGCAAATCTCCTGTGAGAGCCACCTGTGTTTCACTGGCGGCGAACAGGGGCGTGGTTCATCCTCCCTGCAGCCGCGATTGTTTCTTCTGGCGGAATTGGAAAATTTAGGGGTCCTGGGGCCAAGCTTGTCGGCGGGCGGCAAAGGTTCATCTCACTACCTATGAGAGATTGACATCAACAACGAGCTCCCGGATCATGCCAGGCCGAGCAAGCCTGACGAGCCACCCTCATCGGAGGAGGCCTGCATCTGCGTGAGTGAATGGAGCTCATGGCTTTCTTTGCAAGTTGGCATCAACATCTCTTGAAATTGGCAGCATAGCGTGTGGGGTTTCCTTTCTCCCTTTTTGCTCTATCAGTGCACTGGCCATGGCTGCCCCACTGAACAGTGCCCTGTGGACGGTGGTCC